GAAGGCTGACCACCGAAGAATTGATACTTTTGAATTGTGGTGCTGGAGGAGGCTCTTGAGAGTCCCCTGGACAGCAAGGAGAACAAACCTATCCAGTCTGAAGGAAATCAACCCTGAGTGCTCCCTGGAAGGACAGATCCTGAGGCTGAGGCTCCAGTCCTTTGGCCATCTCATGAGAAGATAAGACTCCATGGAAAAGCCCCGATGTTGGGAAAATGTGAGGGCAAGAGGAGAAGGGGACCACAGAGGATGAGATGATTCGACGGTATCACCGAACCAACCAACACGAATTTGACGAAACTCCGGGAGGCAGTGGAAGGGCCTGGCGTTCTCTGGTCCATGGGGTCACGAAGCGTCGGACATGACTAAACGACTAAGCAAGAACAGGACTGATAGGAGCTGGTCTGATCAGCTCCTATCGGGAAAGCAGAAAAGGTGTAGACCAGCGATGTTTTCTAGGCTAGAGCTGTGGAGGTCAAGAAAGGCCAAGGGTGGGCCAGATTTCACAAGCTCTTTGGGTACCAAAGTAAAAGCCGGTTCCTGCTCAGAGGCTGGAAAAAGTTACTATGTTAGCTCGAGAATTCTAGGAGTTTTACTGCAAAAGGAGAAAAAAATATCCTAACTTCCATTCTTTGTCCTTGCAGAATTATTTAGCCAAAGCCAAGGGGTGCCTTCAGATTCCTCAGTATCAATGCTAATGTTAACTCAGGGTAGTGTTACCTGAGGATATATGCCTGTAGCAGCTGACTAGTTTGCCAGAATTTATGTTGAGTGCTGTATGTAATTTAACTGCCAGGATCTCTGTCCCTCCTTCTTTAAAAAAAAAAACAAAAAAAAACTCCAGTGATATTTTTCCTCCTGGTTTTATATTTCCAGCAACCCTGTCAGATAGGCTAGCGTGCAAGAATATGAATTGTCCATGGTCACCAAATGCCAAATGAGCTTGCTGGCTAAGGAGGAATTAATAGAAGCCTCCTCTCTTGGGCCATTATAGTACTGTTTTGGCTCTGCATGGGTCCAGAGGGGCTCTGGGTCCTATGGATGACGGAGCTTGAGGTAGTAGACCCGATTCTGCAAAGCCTAGAGAAATGCTAGGTGGCCTGACATGAATAGCAGCTCCGTGCTTCATATCCACAATATGTCCCACGGCTCCCCAAACGGCGCCTGTTTCCATAGCAACAAAAGGAGTCAGGCCCAAGATTCCCCAGCTGGAGATGTACCATCATAGAGCAAAGAATATTCCCAAAGATTAATCATTTTATGGCTCCCTGCCAGAGGATGGTGATGGCTTCAACACAGTGGGGTGGACCATCTCTAGAAACATGGCTACGTGGAGGGAAGTCCTTCTAGGGGGCCAACTCTCCTCCCTATATATTAGTGCTCCCCCACACAATTCTTTTATTATGATTTGTTTCCTTTTACAGAGGAACTTGTGCAGGCCTCAGTCCCCTCTCTGAGCTCTGAAACAAGGCCTTTAAGACTGCCGTGTTGTCTGCCCTTGCTTCGTAATTAGCGGTGTTCACATTCACAGGAAGAACCTCGTTAAGTTGCACCATGCGTAAACCATGCCAGAGAGTAATAAACAGGATGCGTAATAGATGTAAATAAAAGCAAAAACATCTAGGGATAGTGCATCTAAACACCAAAGGCCTCTGGATCTTGAGGGGCATGGTGAGATGAGGGGGGGTCTGAATTTGACCCAACTCCTGTTTGACCTCATCCATCAGGTGTCATGTTGGTTCTTGTTTGTATATTTTCCTTCTAATTTTTCATGCTCCGGCATGTCAGAATATAGCACTCAAAAGCTAGGAATTTTTTTTCCTGATGGATGAGACCTCAAGCCCATTTTAATGTATATTATTTTGGAAGTGTTCTTTCAAATTCACTTTCCTGTCAAGAACTCAAAATGGAACCCCAACCACTAACGACACGGAAATGTAATACGTACACAGAATACGACCTAAGCCAAGAAAGGCATGCCTCGTTTAAACCAGTAGCCATTTGGGATTATCTTATTGCTGGCTTTTCTTTCCACATCAGTCTTGCGAGTCTGAAAATATTTGGATTGTTCGCCTTGAAACTGATGCTAATAGAAAAACAATATTGTATTTTTGTTTCCATGACAGTCATTTCCGGGTACGCTAAGCAAAAGTTTTCTATAATGTCACAGGATCTGAGAAAACACAGAAGTCTGGATTGGTTTGTTTTGATGGAAATTGGCAATAGAAGGTTCTGTTTATCTCCGAATTTTGCCTTGGGTTTTATAGCAACAGGGTGTAAAATCTTTGGGACTTTGGCTTCCTGTCTATTGGGAACAGCACCTGATTCTTGCTAGGTTAGATAGATGTGAGCAGAATGATGCCCAGAAGACAGGATTATGGGCACACAGAGAAATGTAGAGCTAAACTAATGCAGGATGAATAGTTAAAATGGGTGCATTTAAAATCACGTACAGCAGCAAACAGAAAAGGAGCCAGATATAAGATCAGTATTCGTTTAGTTCTTCAAGCCCCCTCCCACAAAATATTTGAAAGCCACCCACCAGGTTTCTCCAAAATCACATTTGGATATTTTTTTTCATCATCTCTTTAATATAATTTTTATTTCTTTTTCTTTTATTTTTTTTTAACGTTCCCCATCCCCCCCTTTAAATACACAACAGAAAGACATTCCCCCCGCTGCCCCATTCTGGGGTGTAGAGTTTGGGGAGAAGGGGGCTTTGAGGAAAACAGGGTGGCTTGGAGGGTGGGCTGCTGTATAGACCCATCCCTCCTTAACACTCCATATGTCGTTTGGTTATTTGTGCGGGGTTGCGTTTATTTTTTTTAAATATCCCCTTCTCTACCGCACAGGTTTCTTCTTAAAAGTCACATCCATCTTTGTGGCTTGGGAGGGTGTTAAAAAACATTTAGCAGGAGGGAATGAAAAAAACAAACAAACCAGGAAAAGAACAAACCCCCCTAAAAAATAAACCAGACACAAAGAGGAAGGGGGAAATGTGAGGGGGTTAACTTTTTCTTCTTCTTCACCTTATGTCTCTTTTAAAAAAAAAAAATTATTTCCAGTTTGCTTTTTATTATTTCTGTTTGTTGGTGGGTTTTCTCTCTCTCGCTGTTGGTTTTCTCTTTTTTCTTTTTGGTTATTGTATAGAAGTTTTTAAGAGCTTTGGATTCATAAAGAGGGTTTTTGTGTTCTTTTTTTTTCTTTTCTTTTTTCTCTTTTTTTTTCGTTTTGCAAGGACGTCGGCACACGGCACGTGGCGAGTAGCTGCGCGTAGGATGTGAGGGTCCTTCTGGGTTTTCACCTTTTCTTTAAAGCCATTGGAGTAGGTTTGGTGTCGTTTCCCGCACAGAGACGGAAGTCACGTCTATCCGGAGGAAAAAGACAGTGAGGTTGTTGGTTTTATTTGGTTCCCCCGACGCAGGGTAGAGACCCAAGCTGGGGAGGAGGAGGAGGAGGAGAGAGAGAAAGAGAGAGAGAGAGAAGGAAAAAATGGTGGGAAAGAAGAGAAAAGCTCTCTTCTTTCCCCGTTTGGTTGCTGTTCAAGTCGTTCAAATCCATCAACAGTTCGGGCGTCTGTCCATTCATTCTTGACGGCAATTATTATACACAATGGGCTGAGCATGCTCTGGGGTGGAGGGCGGGAGAACTCAGTTTCTCATCTTTACCCCCCTCCCCCCGTAAGTTTTGTCTCCTTGGGATAATAATTTTCTTTTCCTTTTTCTGTCCATTCTTTTTGTTTGCTTTGCTTTCTTTTCTCTCTTTTTTTTTGGCCTTTTTCAGTCTGTTAGCACAGTAAAAGGATGGCAGGTGAGTGTGAGAGAGGGTTCTCTGACAGGGTTGTGTGTGTGTGTGTAAGTAAGTGTGTGAGAGAAAGAGAGAGAGAGAGAGAGAGAGGAGGCTCAGGTACAAGATGGGTATCAAAAGTGTGCCAGCATCTGTCACAAGTGGGGTGAGGGTGGTATGGGGAGGTTCCTAACCACACACGGGGCAAGGTGAGGGCTTTGGGCTCCGTGTATGGCAAATATTCGAAAGAGACAAGGAAGGAGGTCTGGAACACTTCCATAGACGTGAGGAGAGACGATGCAGCTTTTACATACAAAGAGAGCAGGGTGAGGAAACCTGACCTCTAAGGAATGTCCCAAGCCAATAATGGCAGCAATCGTCTTGAGATCTTATGAAGAGATTTCTGGAAATGCACGGTGGGGAGAGAACCATGGGGGAGTCCTGCAAGTAGACATTGGGGGAGAACAAGAACCTTCTCCTGCCTCTTTGACATATGAGGTACACGGGTATGTCACAGGAGATGGAAGACTCTGGAATACACGAGTGGAAGGGAACGGGCATCCCTTAACAACTAAAGCTGTCTAGATGGGATCTAATTATGGAGCATGGAGAGGAAAGGAGGGAATCGGGATCAAATGATAACACAGGGTAGTGAATGAGAGCGTTGAGCAGTTTGGTTGATAGTTGATGGGGCAAAAGGAAGGTCAACACGATTGGCTTGGTAAGACCCGACAAGGGTGTGCATTTCCTTCCCCCAAGCCAGCCCTATGGGACAGGGGCTGCGGTTGTAAAAATGAACTTTGTCGAGGCCAGGGGATCAAGTGGATGGGCTGCCTTCCTGAATCCCACCTCAACGGAAGCAGTCTTCCTTCAAGATACAATTCCACAGGATGGGTAAAAACGGGGTCACAACGACCGAGTGGGTGGCCGGGATCAACCTGGGCAGATGGCGACCTCTTGCATTCAACCCTTGCTGGCAATAAGAAAAGGTAGAGGCTGGATCGGGCGGGGCGCTGAACGATGGTTATTCGTTACAGGTAAGAGGTGGCACCCAAGCAGGTGACCCCCCTCCCTCCTGGGGCTAGTTCATTAGTCATTCTCTCTCACTGGTGGCAGTGTAGCATCCATCTCTATAAAGCTAGTAGTGTCGTAGAGGTAGCGTTATTTTTTGGGTTGGAGTCCGAGTGAGGTAATTTGGATTCCTCTTTGGCAAACACCGATGCGGTTGCTGCGTTGGAGCCGGCCTTGCGCCGGTGAGCGCTGGAGCGCAGGTGGGCCCCCAGGGCCTCACGCCCGCTCACGAGCACCTCGCAGGCCAGGCAGTGGTAGGTGCACACGGGCACGCGGAGCGGTCCTCTTTGGCCCGATGCGGTTGCTGCGTTGGAGCCGGCCTTGCGCCGGTGAGCGCTGGAGCGCAGGTGGGCCCCCAGGGCCTCGCGCCCGCTCACGAGCACCTCGCAGGCCAGGCAGTGGAGTGGTCACACGGGCACGCGGAGCGGGGCTGGGGCTGCCGGGGGCTGGCGCCCAAAGTAGCAGAAAGCGGCCTGGTGAGCGGCGGGCGCCCCCCCCAGTCAATCCTCAGAAGGGGTGGAATGCTCGCCGGTCTCCCCAGTCTGGGCAGATATAGATCTAGTCACTTTCTCTGAGAGATTGCACCCACTCTCTTCATTGTTTAGGTCCTTAAGAGTTCGATATGTAAAGCAAGCCACTTACTTCAAGTTCAAAATCATTCTGTGTTTTTATGCTAAGATGGTGCCACTCAATTTTTGCTTTAAAAAAAGACTTCAAAGAGAGGCAAATCCAGGCATCTCCCGGCCTTCCTCCCTTCTTAGTAAGATTCTGTTGCTTCAGGCTTTCACTTTTCCTAGAAAAAGTCATTTCATCCTCAAATTGGGGGGGGGTAAAAACCGAGTGGTCCCAGTCAGTTTCAGGTAAAGGTTCCCCTTGACATTTTTAGTCCAGTTGTGTCCGACTCTAGGAGGCAGTGCTCATCCCGTTTTCAAGCCGTAGAGCCAGTGCTTGTCTGAAGACAGTTTCCATTGCCATGTGGCCAGCATGATTAGGGAATGCCGTTTTACCTTCCCACCGAGGTGGTACCTGTTTATCTACTCGCATTTCCATGCTTTCGAACTGCTGGGTTGGCGAGGAGCTGGGGCAAAGCAACGGGAGCTCACTCCGTCATGTGGATTCGATCTTACGACTGCTGGTCTTCTGACCCTGCAGCACAAGCTTCTGCGGTTTAGCCCACAGCGCCACTACGTCCTGCAGCGCCACCACGTCCCACATGTCAGTTTCAGGAGCCCTCCTGAAATGAAACTGATGCCACTGCGATGAAGCCCTGCCCCATGTTCTTATATTCTCAAATGACCACTTTAGCTCATGTCCTAGACTTTAGAAAAAGTATGCTAGGATCTGTTAAGACTAGTACAGTATTGCCCTTTGCTTGCACAAAGAATCTTGTGAGTCTCTGAGTTTCAGCTTTGGTATAGAATTCTCCTTCAACACAAAGGATATCCTTTGTAAAAGAGTTTAGTTTAAAATTTTAATTGGGCAATCCTGTGACAGAGAGCCCCTGCATAAATTACATTAACTATACAGCAGGGAGCAGTATAGTTCAAACTCATGAGGATCTTAAAACTGGGGCTGCATTTTGGGCCAACCTACATAAAATTAAGCTTCCATCTGGACATGGTGCCAATAACTGAAAAGAAGATGTACTGTAGGCTTTGAAAATAGTCAAACCAGTCTCAACGCCAAACAGAATAGCCATACTGTGACAGTCATTTATCTCTTAAATCCTATCATTTTCTCAGTTAAAATCCCTGCTTTTTGCCTTATGAAGAAAATTTACTGGTTATCGTTCAGTTTCTATCTTCTACATACTTTTTCTTTTCTTTAAAATCTTGTTTATCTAAAAGCTACTGATTAAATATAATTAACATTATTCACTTTGTATGTAATGATGGTGTAATTATTTGTTTGGTTCACATTCTAATAATAATGGCCCTTATTCACAGTTTCCAAAGCAATATGTGTACCAGAGCACAATTATCCTCTTTTTTCACACTTATTTAAATTATGCTACACATTTCTCCAAATAAATAGCACAACTGTGAATACATAAGAAAAAAACAAATGAAATGCATTAACTGGGAAAAATGCATTAAAAAGGGCAAGAACTGGAGCAAAGGTATGCAAAAATACATGCAAATTTTTGTGCACACAAGAATATATACGAACATCTATAAATTTTATTCATGCTTATTTTTAAAAATTGGAAGCTGAAATGCAAGCAGTATAAAATAAGCCTTTTCTTGGGGGAAAAAAAAGCAAAACACAGTGTGCCAGATGCATTTATACCTTCAACATATGTTTTGATGTACATGAACTATTTACATTTCTATTACTTTTTGTTTACATAGGGGAAGTGTACAAAGTAACATGTTTTAAGCCCATCTATTTGACATGTTTTAGAAGTATCTCTACTCACTCACCCACAGATAGAGTTTGGATGACATAACTGACATACTGAATTTTCATCTGGATATTTCCACACTAAGGTATCATTTTCACCCAAAACACCAGCAGGGCACTCTCGAAGGCGGCCTTGCACTGGCGGCAAAGGTACTGGTGAGTCACGTCAACCGTAGAGATGCCAGGGGCGTCGGACACCTCCACCGACGGCTCGGGCGCGGGCGTCGGGAGCAGGGGGCTGGGCAGCAGCCCCATAAGTGTCTGAGGTATGACAGGGTTCATGGGAAACAGCCCCTTCTTCATGCCATACAGCTGCTGGAAGTAAGCTCCGGGCAGCTGGGCTCCAAAGAGCGAAGGGGCAGCCGCGGTGGCCGTTGGCAATGGGAAGGGCAGGAACTGGCCACCCAGCAGGGCGGGCACGGTGGCCTTCAACGTCTTGAGGTTCTTCAGTGTGGCAGTGGAGGACAAGGAGGGTTCCTGGGCTGAGTTTGAAGCCGGTTCTGCCTGGCTGTCGCACGGGGAGGTCTCCGGAGCGGGAGCTGGAGCGGGCTCTGCGGAAGGACCAAGCTGAGCCGGTTCCGGAGTGAGGCGAGGAGGTAAAGGGGGACCGGGCTGGGTGGAGGCCAAAGGGGAGCTCAGGGTCCCAGAGGAAGAAGAGGAAGGGCCTGTTGGGAGAGGAGGAAAAAAAGAGGGGTGAGTCAGTTGTCCTGCCTCGTGTCAATTCCACCAACCTTCTCGAGGGCGGTCCGTCTTCCCCTCCCACCCCACTCCCATCTGTTTCTTCTTGCATGGTCTCTAAGGCCAGCTCCGTCACAAGTTGGCCACTCTCCACCAACAAGCATGTGCTTCCGCCCGTTGGGTAAACAAAGGTTTTCTTTACAGCAGTGGATTCTATCCACAGCCCCTGGCAAGCCGCTGCACGTCTGGAAGGAAGAGCATGAGATTCCGGCATTATTCCCACCCTAACGGCCTCCCTCTTCTCGCTGCATGCAACAGAAACCGTAAGGATGGGGAAGGACAGAAGAAAGGACACTCCAGTCGGACGGCGAAGGTTCGGCCAGGACCAATTTGCTGAAGAGGAACTATGACTGAGTACAAAAAGGGAGCGAGCAAGTTGCCTCTGCGGCCATTTCAGAAGCTTCAGTCGGACCAATGAGACGAAGAGACGCTACATGGGAAAATGGTGGTATCTCTGTTGCACTCCTATGCTGGCAAGACCAGAGGTGGGAAGCCACCACACAGCTTTATCTTGAAGACCCCCGTCTCGGATAGAACATACCTTACCTTTTTTACCGCTCACTCACCTGACACAAATGGGGCGATGCTCCCAAGGGCAGATGGCATGGTAGTGGGAGGCAACGAAGCTCCCAGCCGGGTTGGTGAGGGTGTCCCTTTGTCCGGCACAAGCTCATAGCACCTGCTTTCACTCTTGAGCTGGGCCTTGATGGCCTCCTTGAGTCGGGCTAGGTGGCCCCGAGAGAAGAGGTGGCCGCGGCAGGAAACATAGAAATCGTACTTGACTTCACAGTAGGGGCACTCGGACTGCGTGGGAGCACTGGGGGGACCCTCGTCGGCGCCACTGTTCCCACCGGTGGCTGACTTGGCTTTCTTCTCCTTGGCCCTGGCGTTCTGGAACCACACCTGAATCACCCTCTTGGGCAGCCCAATCTCCTCGCCCAGCACCTCGCACTCCTGCATGGTGGGCGTTCGGTAGGCTTCGTAGCAAGCCTTCATGATCTTCAGCTGGAGGCTGGACATCTGTGTGCGATACCGGCGTTGGCCCAAAGAGTCGTGCGCCCCTCCGAGCCCGCCCTCCGTTGCTCGACTCCGCCGGCCGCCGGAAAAATCGATATCGGCCAGCGAAGAGGACGAGGACGACGAGTCGCTCAGCTCCCCTCCCGACAGGCTCCGGTCTTCATTCTCCTTGGGCAGTTCTTCTTCCACAGCTTCCTCCTGTGTTTGCACTTCGGCAAGAACTTCTGGCTTAATGGGCGGTGGTTGTAAGTTAACTGCAGGGAGGCTTGGGGTGAAGGAAACGGCGTAATGGACAGGTGGGTCTCGAGGTGGAGGGTTGAACTTTGGGAATGCGGTAGGGAGGGCTTGTGAAGGCTTGCTGGTTGGGTTGGTGGTGCTGGTGTTGCACCGAAACTGGCCTTTTCTCTCGCGGGCTCTTGTGTTCTGGAACCACACTTGGACCACCCTCTTTTTGAGTCCAACTTCTTCCGAGATACAATCGAGCATCTTCCGGGTGGGATTAGAATCCTGCATGTACCAGCGGTACAGGATCTCCAGCTGCTCCGGCAGAATCGTGGTACGCAGGCGTTTGTCTCGAGGAGGCTCACTATCCCCGCCTGCGACGCTGGCGCACTCACTCCCAGTGGGCGATAAGCTCCCGTCCTCATGTTTCCGTTTCTGGGCACGGGACGAATCCGAGTGGGGGATGCGTTCGCCAAATACCAAAGGGGTCAAGTCTAGAGATGTCTGGGAGCCAGTGGTGGGTAAGGGGGGAGCTGTTGCTGACACATGATTAACACGATGGATACTCAAGAGGTCAGAACTTGAGAACTTGGCGGTGCACTGATCACAGGGGTGGCTGGCGGAGTCGTCTGGTTGGGCCGGGGGTGCTGGCGGCTCCTCTTCCAAGGGTTTGTCTCCAGTATCATCTGTCTTAACATCACCTTCTGTCCTTGATGGCTCCTGCTGTTCCTCTTCCTCCTCCTCCTCTTGTTCCTCCTCGTCAGCACCTTCGTTCTCCTCCTCTGCACCTTCTCCATCCCCTTCCTCCGGCTGATCATTGTAACACTTTTTGAGATGGCGCACCAGCTCGAAAATGCAACGGAAGGACGACCGGCACTTCTTGCAGGACGGCTGCGCCGCGGTGTGCCCGCCTCCCACCCCAGCCTCGCTCCCGCCACTCTTGCGGGCCTTCTGGCGCGCATTTTGGAACCAGACGACGATGACCCGGTTCGGCAGGCTTAAGAGGGAGGACAGCCGCTCCACTTCGCCGTCTTTGGGGTAAGCACTGGACTCGAAGAAAGACTGCAGAGCTTGAGATTGGAACTCGGTGAATTTGGTCCGGGAGAAGCGCCGGGTGGTGGGGAAAGCCCCCCGGGAAGCATCGAGGGCTCCAGAGGCGCCACTGCCTTCCTCATCCTCCCCCCGAAACCACAGAGATTTCAAGTGCTCGGGAGACAAGCGGGGAGCCTCACCTTCGACCGGAGGCAAAATAGGCATCGGTTGCATTAAAAAAGGTGGGCAGAGGGAGGGGATTTCCAAGGGGATGGAAGCAGGTGCAATGGTGACGGCAGTGGTTTCCATTGTGGCTGCCACGGTCGTGGTGGCGGTGGCGGCAGCGGCAGCAGTGGTCGTAACCGCCGCGGTGGCAGGAGTCTCCGTGGGGAGCGGTGGGGGCGGGGGCGGATACATGCTGTCGTAGCTCTTCCGGAACTGTGCCGCGTAGCGGTTGAGCGCCTCGAACGGCAGGAACCGCCGGTGCACGTGCTCCTCGTGGGTTTTCAAGATCAGCATGTTGGAGAACTGCTTCCCGCAGGTGCCGCACTGCAGCTTGCCCGCTGGGGGGCGAGGAGGGAGCGCCGGCGCCGGCGCCACCGGCTGCTTGCCCTCATTGTACTGGATGACGAGCTCAAAGCCGAAGTTCTCCAGGAGGACCTTGGCCGCGGTGCGGGAGGCCTCGCTGCCGGGCTGGCTCCCCTCGGCCTCCTCCGCTTCGGCCTCTTCCGCCGGCTCGGATTTAGGGTTGCTGGGGGCCGCGGGGGCTTGCTCTTCCTTGTTTGGCAGAGGCGGGAGCAGCACGGGTGGTGTGGCGGAGAGGGTCAGTGCCGGGGTGGCTAAAGCCAACTTGGGGGCCACCTTCAGGTCGTGCAAGTAGAAAGGAAGCAGCAGTTGCTGCTGCTGCTGCTGTTGCAGTTTCAGGAGGGACTCGGGTACCAGTGGGAAGGGGGGCAGCAAAGGGGGTGTAAACAGGGGTGTAGGGAAGCGCTGTAGCTCCGTTGTGGAGGGTGCCAGAAAAGGGAGCGCCGGCACCTGCACACAGCTCGGAGCCTCTGTTTCCAACGGCGCCTCGTTCGAGTGCTCCGGCTCGACCGCTGGCACCTCCGCTTTGCCGGCCGCTTCCATCTTGGCGACGCGGGAACGGGTCTGGTGCAGGACGGAGCGCATGTGGATCTCCAAGGTGGAGCTCTGGTTGTAGGAAACCCTGCAGGTGGTGCACTTGTAGGGCTTGTCGGATGAGGGCTGGAGACCCCCCGGGGTGCCCGCCTCGCCCCGGGAGGGCGCCGAAGGATCAGCGGAGGCCTTCTTCATCTTGTGCAGGTGAGAGACCGAGTTGTAGTGGACCAGGAGGATGTTCTTCTGAGTGAAGGATTCCTTGCAGACGGTGCATTTGTACGGACGGGCCGGATCAAGGAATTTGTCCAAGGCGAAATTGGTTGCCTTGCGGTAGGACAGGGGATGCCGCGGATCTTGGTTGGGCGCGGCAAGGAGGGAGACCTCAGGCGGTTCAGCTGGGACGTGGGATGGCAGCAGCTGCTCCTCTGCTGATGCATTTGGGCGAGGAGGATCTTCCTCTTCAGACTCAGGTAGAGCAACAGGAGGAAGAGGAGGAGCAGGAGGTGGTGGCAGCGGCGGGATTGTTGGTGGCGGTGCTGGTGGCGGCAGCGGTGGCGAAGAAGCAGAAGGCGGCTTTTCTGGAGGGTCAGCCAGTAAAGCTGGGGAGGCAGGAGGAGGAGGGGGAGGAGGCGATCCTGGACAAAGCTTAGGGGCTGGAGCGTTTTTTTCCCCTGTCGTTGGTGCTGATGAAGGCAGAGGTCAGAGAAATAGTGAGAGAGAGAGAGAGAGAGAGAGAGAGATCCTGGACAAAGCTTAGGGGCTGGAGGGTTTTTTTCCCCTGTCGTCGGTGCTGATGAAGGCAGAGGTCAGGGAAATAGTGGGAGAGAGAGAGAGAGAGAGAGAGCAGGATTGTCATGTACACTGAAAAACGTGTGTAGATGTAGCAGGGGTAATCTGTTAAAGCACAAGTAACAACTTTGAGTCTGTCTATACCAGTGGTTCCCAGCCTTGGTTTAATCCAGGTGTCCTTGGACTGCAACCCCCAGAGAGCCCCCGGCCAGCATAGCTAGTGGTTGAAGGCTTCTGGGAATTGTCCAGGAACACCTGGGTTACCCAAGGATGGGAATTGCTGTCCAGGAACACCTGGGTTAACCCAAGGATGGGAACCACCAGTCTATACAAAACCATTAAAGCAGTCAGAAGCCATTTTAGTTCTCATGGCTCCATGCTATGTAATTCTTGGCTCTGTGGCTTGACGTGGTAAACTAGAGCTCTCTAGCTGAAAATACTACGTTATCTCACCAGATCCCAGGATTCCATGGGATCAGCCCATGGTAGTTAATATGGCATCAAACGGTTTCAACTGCAGACAAAGCTGAGGAATGTGGTGGCCCCTGAAAAGCGAGTGGGGTTTCATTTGACCCAAGCTTCTGCGGTGTGGGCTGCAGTCCAGAAAAATCTTATGCCAAATAAAACTTGCTAGTCTTAAATGTGTCCTCATACTCCGTCTTATATTTACATACATTCTGTTTTCTCCCCACCCCCCTTAGCCTAAGGTGAAATTTGTCATTCTTGAACATGGAAGGACTGTGTAGCAATACACGTATGTGGATGGAGAAGCTATTTTTCAGCTGTGTAGAAGCTTAGGTAAGAGTGCTATTTAAAAAAAAAACACCCTGCAAATGTAGACTCATATAATTTAGCTGGTGTAGGAGGCTGGGGTTCAGGATAAATAGATCTGTAATGTTTATTTGTTTATTTCTTAACTCCATTCACAGCTTACGACTTCCACAAGGGCTAAACATTTATTTTAAAAATAGTAAACAAAGTGCTCGTCCTTAGGACTCCAGACAGAAAAATTTAGGACTGTGAAGGAATTCCCAAAACAAGGTGTTCCTCAGTTGGTTGACAGCTGCTTTCCCCACTTAGACTCCTAGAATCATGGAGTTGGAAGGGGCCTCTAAGGCCATCCAGTCCAACCCCCTGCTCAAGGAAGGCGTCCAAATCAAAGCAGATCTGACAGAAGGTGGTCTAATTTTCTCTTGAACTTCCTTTCCTCAATGATGTTGGGAGACAGCCCAGAGCTGAAATATCCTGAATGTAAATGTGAGCCTGTGGGGCAGAAATTTACATCCTTCCAACACTTTCCTTCACAGAACAGAACATGGCTTACCAACGAGGGGGCTCTGGGGTTCGTTTCCAGCCCCTTGCTCTGAGTTGGGTGTTCCGCCTGGCTTGGGTGGGTCAGGAGGAAGGCTGGGGTCATGGACAACTTTGGTGGCGAAGGTCATTTCTACGGTGGTAGCCTAGATAGGAATGAGAAGGAAAGCGACACGGAGCAGCATTAGAGGGGCACTCCCTCCCTCGCAAATGATGAGCGACCATTCAGAATGTTCTCAGCTCTACAAAATGCTGCTGCAACCGTTTCATGGATGACAGAATCCCGGCTGAAAAGGCTATCAATCCGTTGAGCCGCAAGAATCTCCCCAGCAAAGTCCCACCAAAAATAACCACTTCCATGATTCTCCAGGAGTCCAGCTGGCTTCGGCACTAGGTGCTTAGGGCTCCACCCACCTCCCTCCCCGATACCTGTTTTTGTTTTTCAGGATTAGGGTCAGAAGGACAGACACAGTTGCAACAGGTCATCCCCCTTCTTCCACTGGGGATTTTTTTTTAAAAAAAGCTTATCTTGTTAAATGACTTTGCTAGGCAATCTGCTGAAGCAGGGGATGGGGAGTTTGTGTCCTACCCGGTGTGTCATTGTACTGCAACTCTCTCCATCCCTGATCCCTGGGGATGAACTGGGATTGTAGTCCAACCAAATCTGGAGGGCCACATTCACTCCTCACATTAACTCTCTGTGTTAAGAGACGCAGACGCTCAGTCTGCACATTATTTCATTCCGTTCCAACCATCTATATTTTGCTCTCCTATTAAAAGCCAGAGGGGTTGGGTTTGGGGGGAATGGGATAAAGACACTTCCTGCGCTGACACTCACCACAAGCAGCAACTTCTCCACACACTCGGGCACCACGTTGTGAACGTGGCTGAGGTGGAAGTGGAGGTTGGTCCGGCCCACCAGCTGTTCCTGGCACAGCGGGCAACGGTACTTGGGCTGCACCGCATGCTGGGAGACGGTGTGCGCCCGGACGGCTTCAACGGAGGGATCAACATAATTGCAGAATGGACAGCAGAACACCTGGATTGTAGGAGCGGATGAAAAGAAGGGAGAGAGCAAAGAAAGGGTGATTTCTCTGGAGAAACTGGTGCCTTGCTTCCTAGCCTGGGTACCATACATTGCTTCATGATCCAGGCCATTTCTCCTTGCAAGCATCGTGAGGCGGGCAGGGTAAGACCAGGGGAGAGAGAGAGAGAGAGTACTCCTTGGAGCATTAAAATGAGAAAAGGTAAGTCGTTGTTGTAAAAAATAATCCTACGTTACTTCTTAGTCATTGGTTAACAAGGGGAAATCAGTAACATCTGTCCTTTTTGTGATTTTTAATTACAGTGGTGCCTCGCTTAATGAGCGCACCGTTTAACAAAGAATCCGCATAGCGACCCGTTTTTTGGGTCGCTAATGCAATTGCATTGTGATGTTTAGATAGGCTAAACATCGCATTGCGATCATTTCTACACCCGGCGGCCATTTTGGGAACAGCTGATCGGCGGTTCCAAAATAGCCGCTGGGTGCAGAAAATGGCTGCCCGCACCATTTTCGCGCCCTGCCCTCGCTTAACGAGGGCGTGAAAATGGCGGCACTATGGAGAAACTTCGCAGAATGGTGAGTTTAAGAGCCATAGGAGCGCATTAAACTAAGTTTAATGCGTTTCTGTGGCGTTTTCCGTTCCGTATAGCGATGTTTCCCCATAGCAACGGTTAATCTGGAATGGATTAACCTCGCTATGCGGGGCACCACTGTAATTTACAATGCTCAAGAGCAGGCAAAGCAATCCCTCTAGCAACGTTTTAGAAGTAATAAGTAAATATTTGTTACCTTTTTTTAAAAGGGGCTACTATGAGTCATACCTTCATTACTCCCTTGTAATCTATTACAGGTAGTGCCACTACATCAGGGGTGGGGAATTAATTTCTATAGGGGGGGAGGCCACATGAAAAATCTGTACTGTGTTCAGAGGCCGAACCAACTTTACTTAAAAATAAAAGATAAGCAACTGATCAACTTTTAGACAAAAAGCTATACATGGTTTTGATGTTTAACTAGTTCAGTGAGAGAAATCCAGTCTGTCTTGGGCTTGAACAAGTGCTTGAACTGCAGCGACGACCGGCGGACCGGACAGGAGCGGCTCGCGGGCCGCATGTGGCCCTTGGGCCGCACTTTGCCCAGGCCTGCACTGCATTCAAGGTACTTCTGCCAACCTTGGAGAGGGGAGAACAGAAAACATTTTGGAAGGAAGCAAACTGGCTAAGAGGATAAAAGCCACGGCCTGGCAGCTGGATGATTAGGGAGTAGAGGAAAGCAAGACTTCTCTAAATTTAATCTCAAAGTTTGGCTTCTGCAATTTACTTTTCTGCCCCGTGATGTTCAAAATGTAGGGTTGAATTTAGTAAATAAGTTGCAGTTCTGGTGTATTTTCTAACTCTAGATCAGAAGTCGTCAACCCCCAGTCTGTGGCCCGGTGCTCGTCCGTGGCCTGAGCCGGACTGGGCCGCGGAGACAGACCTCCTGCTCCATCCTCGCACACACTCCCCTCTCAACAGCTGCTTTGTGCACACCTGCACGTGGCAGTGTCGGCGTGACCGCTCCCCCAGCCCTTCACACATGTGCCTGAGCGCCTGCCGAAGGGGTGGGCATGCAGGGGCTATTGTGCATGCGTGAAGGGGTGGGGGAGCACTCACGCAGGCGCTGGTGGGCATGCACATGCTCCCCCACTGCTTCGCGCATGCACCCAAGAGAGAGAGCGCATGCGCCCAAATGCAGGGAGGTGCCCCACCTTCCTCAGAGGCTCAGCTGGTCGCAGTCCCAAAAAGTTTTGAGGATCACTGCTCTAGATCACTAGCTTTGAACCCGGCTTAACCCTGTAAGGTACTGTTTTACTCGGCAAGTTCATCAAACAAACAGCTGTACCAACTACTTTAAAAGCGATATTCTATATGCATAGCCCCGCCGAAGGGGTTTTTATCATGATTTTCAAGGCAATAACACTGGAAAATGTGAAGCGCCAGTTGCATTTATTCTCCAGAATCCTGAACAGAATTTTCATCGGAGTACCATCATCCTTTCGCTTCCATGGGATTCCTGCACCGCCACCCCACCCCACCCCCGGTGAAAAGCCCAACTCACCGTAGTGTCGGTCACACCACCAGCTTTCGTTTCGGCCTCGTCAGAAGCTGCAAAAGGACAGGGGGAAAAAAAGAAAGATATCTTGCATCTTCTTTGGGGCTATTTCAAAAAGTAGCTGGGGAAGTTTAATATTAGAAGGGAGGTCTGTTGGCGTAAAGTGGGGATGTCGGAAGAAACGAAACCGTTATCCAGGCATCTGCCCTGGATCTTGGCCACAGTGCCACAGCGCTCTGGAAAGGAACAGCACCACCACGGACGAAGAGCAACCGGAAAATCACGGAAATGAAGGGGAAAAAGTCCCTGGGACCAGCCCACTCGAGTCGAGCCTCTTTTTGGCAAATCTTGCAGGCATCCTTGGAAATGAGTCCGAGCCACATTTCTGGGCAACACTGGCTGGCACCAGAAGTTGGGATCCTGACTTCTCTTGATTAGGGGAGCTAAATAGGGTTGCCTCTGGTTGGCGTTTGGGTGGGCCACCCTCCAGAAATACCGGATCTCCACCTAGGGCTAGGAAAGAATCTCTCCCAAAATCTACAAGACCCATCTCTTGCTCACGGTTTGGCAGCAATTGGGCCAGGTGGACGGAGGATCTCTGGCAGCAGGAGGAAGTTCCCTTTGCTCTTAAGAAGACCCAGGCCGGAGTGGGCGCCGGCTCTCTTCCCCAAGAGCTGTGTTTTCATGAGGGTCTTTTGAATGGCACAGGAGAGAGAGGACAGGCAGGTGGGGGGGGGCAACCCTGTAGCCAGGCAGGAGTCCCTGAGCTGTGCCAAAGATACAGGGCAGGAGCCGAAAGCGTGGCCAACAGTGGAATGGTACCTCTGGAGATGTGTGTGGCTCATGCGAGAGAGAAAGAATTACTCACTGGGCGTCCGGGCTTTATTCTGCGTTTCCTTTTCAGGGGAAGAGACCTCTGGTACAGTTTCCTTCCCTGGAAGCGGGCAGAGAACCAAAGCAGAGAGGAAAAGGGGAAGAGGTAAAACAGTTGCAAGCACTCCCGTTTCTAGAGACAACTTGCTTTTTTAAAAAAATACATATCAATATTTTTTTTTCCTCAGCTGCATTTCATCTCTCGCTCCCCCCCCCTTTCCTTCAGGGGGTTGGGAACGCCGAAGACCCGAGAAGCCCAAAGGTTGGAAGAAGAAGAAAAAAACTAGATGGAAAGGGGGAGAAAATGGAGGGAATTCCACCGCTGACGTTGCAAGAGCCGGAATGACGCATGATCCAGGACTTTATCCTCGTCAGAGACTAATTAAACTCTCAACCCAAGTGGGATCGTTAATATCGAACGGGCTTGCCTCCCCGCCCGGTAGGAGCAACCTCACTGCCATTGGCAACTCAATTAACACTCTTCAATACACCCGCCAAGATGCTAAGACCTCCATTTCTCACTATACCGAGTGTTTTTCTCCCCTCACCAACCCGCTCTTCCTCCGGCATGCTCTCGCGCGCGCACCCACATCTTTTCCACGGTGGTTCCCGACCCTTCCAAACTTTGCCACGCACTCCAGTGGCACCCCTTTCCTCACGAAAACTTCCCACGGCCTCCATTTTTGACTGTTCCACCACGCTCTCCTCTCAACCCTGCCCGGACCCCCGCTTTGGGGTGGCGGTGAGTTCCCACGAGCCCACCTCCCAAGATCTCATTCCTCCATCGCTGCCTCTTGAGGGCCCGCAATCCTGACCCACAGCTTTCCTCGGCACCCCCCCCACGCCGGGCGCACTCCTTCCCTCCCCCCTCTTTGCCTTGTTAAAAAAAAATGGGGAGCCTTGTTGTCGTTTGCACACAGGTAGGGACGGAGGGTGGATGGTGTTTTCGAAACATAACCTGAAGCTGGGATCAGGGCCAATTGGCCTCGCTTGAATTGAATAGGGTCTCTCCCCCCCCCATACCCCCAGGGATGAAAGACATGGGGTGGGGAGGCAGTTACGGATTGAGGGAAGAGAAAGCAAGACGGAGAAAAATGTTTCTTTTTTCCCCCCCTTACTTCTCTTTCCTCCACCAGCCCCCAACGGCCTGTGGTCCCTCCATCCCTCTTTCTCATTTCTCTTCTCCTTCATCCTTCCTCCATGTTGCTAGGCAACCACCCCAGTATCTGTCATAATCCATTATGAAGCGGGGAGGGGGGGGAGGGAGAGGTTGACGGTGGCTGTGGAGGAGGAGGAGGAGGGAACAAACCTTCAGCTGCGCTTCACTATCCACAGACACAGGGGTGTGTGAAATACAGCACAAGGGGAGACCGGGGCGGGCGGTGAGATGGGAGCAATGGCAGGGCATTTGCTTCCCTCTTGTCAACTGGCTTTTCTTGTCCCCTGATGCCCAAATCTACGTTTTTGCAGGTCTAAGATAATTAGCAAACACAAACACAAACACACCCATGGGCCTCGATGGCTGAGCGAAGGGACCATTACCAGCGGGGTTAGCAGGAGCAAAGCAGATGTATCTCTCAAGACCTGGAGTGCCCTCCCCATTCTGGAGCAGTTGGAGCCGCCACTGGCCATGAGCATCGCGGTGCTGGGGGGACCGGAGGTGCTGGACCATCACCAGGCGGTTTGGGGTGTCCGTGTGGCACAGGAGGCAACGGAACTGGGCAGGTTCAGGACCCACGGTTGGCAGGGCTGACGTTGCTTCCATTTCCAGGAGGAACTAAGGAGAGAGAGAAAGAGAACTGCAGCCCACCAAAAGGAAAGAAGAAAACAGCGTTTACTCCATGGCCACCCTTTCCTTGCTCATGGTTTCATCCAGCCTCTTATCTAATGGCTCACACTTCTCCAAAGGCACCTCCATTCCCGGGCTCCACCCGTCCTCTGGTTTAACTACACCTGGATCCGTTTAGTTCTGCGGCAAACACCTGCTCAGTCAGGTGACTGGCTCTGGTCACCTTAAGCCCCACCCACTTCCCTGGGCCCACCCCTAAGGGTGGTACCTTGTAACCCTGCAGCGCCTCCTGATGGCCAGCGCCTGCCACATGCAGCCGCATCTTCTCCTTGCTGTTGGTCTCGTATTCGCAGAGGTTGCAGTGCAGGTGAAGGGGCGGGCCAAGTGGAAGCTCTGCCCCCACATGGGCTCCGAGGCTGCCCCCTTCGCGCAGGTGGGCCGCCAGCTGGTACTTCAAGGCATGCTTGTCGGTCTTGAGGTGCAGCTGGAAGTTGGCCTTCAGCTGGGTGCCGTAGGCACAGAGCCTGCACCGGTGCAAGTCCCCGGACACCTCCTTCCACTCGGCCTCGGGCAGCGAGCGTGGTGCCGAGGCGTGCCTGAGGAGGGCCTCCAGGCTATCCGTGCCAAACACCTGGCATACCAGGCAGCCAAACAACCTCTGTGGTGCTGCTGGGTCGGATCCGGAATGGGGTGGCAACGGAGAAGGTGGAGCAGGTTCCGGAGAGAGCGATGCAGGGGCTACGGAAGGCAGAGGAGGAAGGAGAAACGGAGTCAACAAAGAATATAAAATCACGTGCAGATAAATAACAGAGAGACAAAATGGGTAAATGAAAGAACGGAGCAAAGCAACGGAGAGATGTAGGTTCTGCAGCTGTCTGGAGGTCTGAGGATTTATTTTAATTCCTTTGCTTTCCCCTGAATACCACTTGAAATTTCTTCCCCTCATTTCATATTAGACTGCAAGACAACAAGGAGGATCAGGGGACTGGAAGCCAAGCCCTAGGAGGAAATACTGAAAGCTCTGGGCATCTTTAGCTTTGAGGGAAACATCTGAGGAGAGAGATGATAGCACTCTTTATATACTTGAAAGCTCGTTGTACAGAAGAGGAGCAAGATCTGTTCTCAATCATTCCAGAGTTCAAGACATGTAAAAATGGGCTCAAGTTACAGGAAGCCAGATTTCTGCTGAATATCAGGAAAAAGTTCTTAACTGTTAGAGCAGTAAGACGATGGAGCGCATGAGCGCTCCAACTCTGGAGGCATTCAAGCCACGACCTTGGGAAGCAGTGAGTGTTCCAACTCTGGAGGCATTCAAGAGAAAATTGGTCAACCTTTTGTCAGATCTGCTTTGATTTGGATTCCTACATTCAGCAGGAGGGTTGACTCCATGGCCTTGCAAGCCCTTTCCAACACCGTTATTCTATGATTTGTGGGTTTTGTGTATTTTTTTTCCACATGGAATGTTCTGCAAGCTTTACATGACTCGTTGGTACATAGTCATTTGTGCATTTTAAGCACTTCACTCTGTGCCCACTTTATAGGCCCCCTAAGTCTTGGAAATGTGCAGCTTCTCAAGGAGGAAAGGCATTTCCTCTCTCCACGAAGCACAGAGAAAGAGTTACTTTCAACTGAGCTGTGAAAGCTAACCCGTTTCTCAGTCATCCCAATTTTTACACTGAGGGGGGAAAAGAAGAGAAACGAAGGCAGGACTTGTTAAGAAAGGAGCAAAGGAATGAGAGAACTGAGGAAGAAAACAAAGAAGTGTATTTTTTTGTTGTGGTGGTTTTTTTGGGCTCTTTGGTAAGAGAAACGAAGGCAGGGCTTGTTCGCCGTGTTTGAACAAAAAGAAGAAAAGAAAGGAGCAAAGGAATGAAAGAACTGAAAGAATGAAAGAATGAAAATAAACATAGAAGTGTATTTTTTGTTGTTGTGGGTTTTTCGGGCTCTTTGGCCGTGTTCTGAAGGTTGTTGAGTTCCGACTCCAGTCCTCTGAAGATGCCAGCCACAGAGACTGGCGAAACGGCAGGAAGAACAACCTTCAGAACACGGCCAAAGAGCCCGAAAAACCCACAACAACCATCAGATCCTGGCCGTGAAAGCCTTCGAGAATACAAGTGTATTTTTTATTTGGATAAGCCCCTTGGAGATTAAAAAAACCAAAGAGGAAATGGAGGCCATGGGGAAAAAGGATGTTTAGTCACAAGAGGTGGAATTATCTGCTTAGTATCAATAGACAAGTGTGGTGTGTGTTCAATCCTTACGTCTCGTCTATGCTGGAGCAGCAGAGTTATGGAAGGGACTAAAGGAGTGGATAAAGTATTTTTTATTTGGATAAGCCCCTTGGAGATTAAAAAAACCAAAGAGGAAATGGAGGCCATGGGGAAAAAGGATGTTTAGTCACAAGAGGTGGAATTATCTGCTTAGTATCAATAGACAAGTGTGGTGTGTGTTCAATCCTTACGTCTCGTCTATGCTGGAGCAGCAGAGTTATGGAAGGGACTAAAGGAGTGGATAAAAGCAGTTCTCCTCTTACCTGACCCCAAGGTACACATCTTTCTGCCCGTGGCCCCGAGGTGTGGGAAGCCTCCGTTGAGTAAGAGTTGAGTTTGCTCCAAAGGCTTCTCTCCCCGCAGGGCTGGGCTTCCCCCGGAATGAGGGTGGTGGGGATGCGGGTGGTGGGAATGGCCGAGGGTTTGAGCCCCATAGAACTGGAAGAGCTCTGTCTGCATTTTGCCTCCTGGGGGGGCTTGAGATTGCCCCAGCAGTCCCGGTAACGCCAAGGGCAACCCTTGATGGAGCAAAAGGATGTTCTGCATGTGCTTCTCGGACGTCATGTGGATCCGCAGGTTGCGGGAGATGTTGGTCTCGTAACTGCACACCTTGCACTGCCAGGAGGATTTGCCTTTCGGCTCCTTCTCTTCGGGAGAGGACGGGGAGGGGGCCACGGGAGGGGCCACCACCGAAGAGGCCCCGCCTGCCCCCGTGGCCTGATAGCCTTGGAGGTTCGCCAAGTGCTTGTCGGACTGCATGTGGATGCTGAGGTTACCTTTGGTGGTGGTGGAGTAGTTGCAGGCCTCGCAGCGGTAGGGTTTGTAGCCGCAGTTGTAACTCTCGCCCCTGGCCAGGCGCGGATGGGGGCCGCCTGTGCTGCAATACGCACAGTGGCTGTTGTTTTCCGGATGCTTCTCCTTCATGTGCACATCGAGGGTTTGCTGATACTTGTAATGCCAGTTGCACTTTGGGCATTTAAGAGTCTTGCAGGAGTTCCGAGAATGGAGCAGCGACATGTGACCAGATAGGGTTAACCCAGAGTAAGCCATGGCGGTGTAATCTTCCCCGAAAGCAAGCGCAGACCCTCCGTTGTGATTACTGTTGCTTATTCCATTGTTGACTTCGAACCCCACATTAGTCATGTCGTTCGCCATCCCGACGTTCCCGAGGGGGTGGGCCAGGTCGGTGGCACCAACGTCATGGGACAACCCAACACTTGGGGCTTCAGTGTCATTGGCTAGGCTGTCGTTATTAACTTTGGTGGCTAACCCGATGATTTCGGTGGGTAGTTCGGTAGGAGCGATCTCGTGAGCTGGTCCTGCGTGGCTGGCTCTGTTGGCCAACCCAACCGCGCCGTTGGCCGAATCCAGGTGGACGTCTTCCTTGGGCAGCCCAACATTAACTATGGTGTCAGTGCTGTTGGCCTTCCTCAGCGGTGTCTCTGAGAGGGGGGTGTTAGCACCCATGGGTGGGCTTTGGCCATCTGAGCTTTGGTCTGGAAGAAGCCTTCCCTCCTCTTTCTTGTTTTCAACCACTACTTCCTCCTCCTCCTCCTCCTCCTTTCCTTCTTCTGGTTTGTCCTCCATGCCCCCCTTTGCCCAGTGCGTGCCTCCGACCCTTGAATCTTTGGCATTGGGTGGCTCGCGTTGTCCTTCTGGGCTCCCGTTTTCCTCCTCCTCCTCTTTATTTTCTCCTGTTACATTCACCCATCTGCTACACATTCTGGCATTGAGGTCTGCCTTGGTGGTGGGAATATTTGGTTCTAGGAAGCCAAGTGTGGTACCCTGGAACACGGCAGAAGCCCCTCTGGACAGGGTCTGGCATTCGTTGGTGTTCAGCTGCACCCCGTGAGCTGCGCGGGTGTGCGTGGCCAAGGAGCGGCCCCGGCCGAAAGAGAGGCGACAGACCAGGCAAAGCCAGATGGGCACCTCCGGGAGCTCCTCTTCTTGGCCAACGTTGGCTTCCCCTTTGAGGGTTTCCTCATCCTCCACATGGGTGGTGGGAGCATCTTTGGGTTCGGTGGGAGCGTTTTTGGCAGATGTGGTTCGAGCAGGGAGCCCGGCCAGTCGGTAACTGTAGAAGGCGCCGTGAGGGGTCCACTCGCCTGGCGCTGAGGTATTCTGGGACATTTGGTCAGTAGACATAAAGCCTTGGTTAGGGCCTCCACTGCGCTGGACGTGGAGGATGGAGACTGGGGGAACTGTGGTGCTAGGGGAGCCCTTTGGTAAGAGAACATGGCCGCCACCGAGGAGATAGGTTGAGCCGTCGGCAGAGAAGAAGAGGTGGGCTTCACGCCCACCGTCCTCTTCCTCTTCTCCACCTTCTTCTGCTGCTCGCTTACTCCCATCTTCGGCAGGGGACGTTGCTTGAGGGAAGGGTGATGGGTTTGGCGTTGCTCGGCCGCAGTCTGCTTGGAGTTGCGGCGCGGAGCAGGGCCTCATGGTTTCATCAAGAGCGGGCGAGGCGTCCGAGGAGGAAGGGTCCGAGAGGGGGGTTTCTTTGGTGGCTGGAGAGGCAGGGGAGCCCTGAGCGGGCCGAACCACGGCCTTGTCATCCTGCCCGTTGGCCGAGGGGAGAGAGACGGAGGAGTTGGAGGAGGCAGAGTTAGAGGGGCTTTCCATGGCGGTGCAGGCGCGAGGGGTGCGGGGGGGTCATCTCAGCACAGGAGCCGAGACTCTGGAGGAGAAAACAGAGAATGCAAAGGCGGGTGAATCTTTGTCTTGTCGTGTTCCTGTTTATGAGACAAGAAAAGAAACTCTCATTTTATTTACGGTGCCCTTCAGATTCTGGGCGGCCTCGTTAGAAGGCGCCGCGATCAGGGAACTATCTGAAAATTGGGGTTTCAGTTCAGATTTTTTTAAAAAGTCCCTACAAAACTTTGCACACATTTTTGTGGGGGGGGGAAATCCTCTAATGTAAACATTTCGACACACCCTAACAGACGTATTTTTACAAGCCGCTTCCTTTAGTCAAATAGGTTTCTCCTATCTTATTTTTTTTACCGATAGACATATATTTGTATGTGCTGTTCCCTGACACAGTACTTTTTCCACACCGTATTTCATGAGGGAAGTGCCTCGCGAGGTTTTGAAAAATACAGCTAGTGCCTCTTGTTCTGCTGCCTCTGAAGAAATGTGAATTAGGTAAAGTTTGCATTAAAAATATGAATCAGATGATGTCCTTGGTCCCTATTCCAGATTCCTGCCTCACTTCATCCCAGAAAATTCTCCAGAGAAGTGTCCTAGACATGGTTCACCACACAACGCTGTGTCTCACAACTGTGAAGAAGCCATTGCAGGTAGAATGCAATGGGAAAGATGATGGTTCAGTGGCAGGGCACCTGTTTGGCATAGGATACTGGTTCCCAACCTTGGGTCCCTCAGGTGTTTTTGCTTGGACTACAACTTCCATAAGTCTTCATCATTAGCTGTGCTGGCCAGGATTACTGGGAGTTGTACATAGTCCACAAACATCTGGGGACCCAACGTTGGCGTAGAAGGAGGCCTGAGGTTCCATCTTTAGCATCCCCATTCAACAGGACCATGGACTAGTGCGAGGAACACCACCATATTTTGTGGAACTTACATGTAGCACACGTCCACATTTGAAAATCCAGCTAGACCAAACCAAAAACCCATCTTATCCATGGTTGCCCACAGGAAGCCCATCAGAAGGACATGACAGCAGGCTTCAACCTCCATCTTATGTTCTCTGGCAACATCTGGATCTGGTAGATGTAATGACAACTCTGGTGAATGTACCTAATCCCCTTTCAGCTCTGTCCAGATGGACAGCCGTCACTGCATCCTGTGGCAGTGAATTCCAGAGTTTAACCATGGACTGTGTGAATAAACCCTCCTTCCTTATCCCTCCCAAATTCCCTGCCGTTCACTTCCACAGGAAATCCTAACTTCTCTCATTATGACCGTGTCAATGAATCCCAGCCGTGGGGAAAGGTGAGCAGTGAAAGAGCTGTGGGGTGTAACCCCCTTGATGGCAAAAGAGAAGCAATGTGTGTGTGAGAGAGAGATCTCAGCGATAGAGCATCTCCAGGAACTGACCCTAGGAATGAATCCTGCCTCATAGGATGGACAGCCAGTCAGGGTGGACACCTCTGTGCTACACAGACCAAGGAGTCGATTTAGAATAGCCGCCGGCGTTCCTAATACCGCCTGCCTCTCTCCAAGCCTCTCCAACACGCAAAAGCCACCTCCTCATCTCCATCCCAGGGCCGGGAAAAGATTTGCAATGCAAACGAGTTGCATGATCCATAATCCACCTGTCCTGTGATCCAGGAGCGCACTGCACAGGACATCGATCTGGTCTGTCCCTCCTACAGGTACACCTGTAGCCATACCCTTCTAGGTACCCCTTTCCCAACTTCTTCTGCTCTTCTGTCCACTTCTCTGCTCGTGTTCTCAAACGATCACTTCATCCTTTCAGATTCGTGTGTGTCAGGCCATAGTCACAGGGGTGTCTCTGAGCACATGGCAAATGCTTTTTCTTCATTGCTAAGAAGCCAGAATTAATTCCCCTACGGGTCTGAAGATAGGTCTTTCAAGAGCAGCCGATCAATTAAAAACAACAACCCTTGAGCCTCCAAAACACTGTGCATACCCCACTGCAGAACCCAACGTGGGCTGCACTTTGCCACTATAGATCTAAACCGTTTTTATGAATTTCCTGGCCTTTTCTCTTTCATGCACAGCTTCCTAGGCGTCTTCTCCCCCATGGGTCCATCTCTCTGCCTGTCCTACCTTCTCTCCTTTTCCAAGCATTTCCTCCCCTATCAGCCAAGGTGTAAGGCATCTTGACCCTGGCCATTCTATCTGAAGCAGATGGGAATGGTAATTTTGTAAAAAATGCTAGAAGACACCAGGTCCTGCATCATTTTATCCCACAGTAATGCAGAACTCGGGGAAGCAATCAAGCTGGTGGGGATTCTGGGAGTTGTTCTCCAAAAACAGTAGCTTTTCTGAACTCTGTTAACAAGAATTACTACAGTGGGGTATGACTCACAGTCCACCTCATTCAATGGTCTGTCTCTTTCTAACAATGGGTCAGCCGGTAGATAAATGGGTGGACCAGCTCACTCAACACCGTATCCATGTTCTACGGAGCCATCATCCTTCTGAGAGAGTGAAGGGTAATGTTAACAACCAACACAGCATCCCGTAGCAGTCAGTTCCACAGGATATCAATACATTCATGGTGCTTTTTGTGGGGAACGTATTGGTATCCTGTGGAACGTACTGCTACAGGATGTCGTCTTGGTCAACAGAATTACCCTCCCATCTATCAAAAGAAGGATGGTTCTCTAGAGGATGGATACGGTGTTTTGTGACCCAGTACACCCACTCGCTCTGACCCATTTACCCTCTGGCTTAATAAAGACTTCTGCTTGTATCAGTTTGAGTTAAAAAAAAACAACAACCCCTATCTCTACTACTCAACAATGCTGGTGCCACATTCTGTTACTCTCCATCAACAAACAATACCTACTCTTTCATATCTCCAAAAACCAGGTGACTCATCAATCGACGGAGCCTCAAATTATTTTCGCAAGATCAGGGGCCACCACACATGTGGCGTGCGTCCCAGGGAGTCCTCAAGCGAGCAAAATCTGGATTCGGCCTCTCCTTTTTGACCCAACATGGACTCTTCCCCCCCTTCCCCCCCCCGATGAATCTACAATGGCCAAGCGTTGTGCTTGGATTCTGCCTGCAAACGAACATTTGTCGGGGCCTACATGGTCATGGCCCCCCCTCCAGAGGATGCTGGGAAGGGCAAGACTTCCCTTAGCCCCCTTTCCCAGAATCAGCATCCTCAAAATGTCTTGGTGGGAGCCACAGCAGTTCCAAGAGCCTTCAGACTGATTTCAGGGGTGGGTGAGTGGCATGGGAAGGGGTGGAGACCACCCGAGGGAGAGCAACCAGGCCATCTCTGTGGCGGCCATGTCAACAGCATCACCACGTCAAAGCCCTCCCCCCCACACAACCTGGCTCATCTCTCCAGACTGTCTGTCCGTCCATCTCTGTATCTAACCAGTGTCTTTCTCCCTTCCCTTTTTTTTGCCACAATTCTCACCAACCCTATAACAATATTATCCTTGTATCCCAGGAGAAAAGACACCCTGTTAACATTTATTTTATTTTTTTATTTTTATTTTTGGTTCATTTCTCCACTTGGTGGAAGGAGAAGAAACAGGAGGTGGGGGGGTGAGGACATGGCCTCTCTTTTGCCTTTCCTCCCCCCTCCCCTTGGTCTTCCCCTCCCCCTTTCAGAGTGGTTAGTCAATGCAAATTGTCTCATTAAGGAGAAAAGGAGGCGGGAGACATAATTAGGCGGCTGCTGCATATTTACTAAGAGGAAGCCAGAGACACAAAGGCTTGGGGGGGGGGAGTGTAAAGGGAAGCATGAGAGAGAGAGAGAGAAAGAGAGAGAGAGAGAATGGATAGATAGAAGGAAAGAAAGAAAGAAAAGGAGGGAGGGAGGAGTGAAAAATGAGATATGAAAGCAAGCAAAGAGGGAGACATGATGAAGGGGGGAAAGAGAAGTGTGGAGGAGAGTCAGAATATGGGGAGGAGAAACAGAGCAGACACAATTGTAGGGGTGAAAGAGAAATGATATGTATCTCAGCCCTTGATACATTGACTTAAGGGGTAGCCCCATTGATTTCTCGGGGGGGGGCTACTTCCAGGGAAACAAGAGCCTGCATCAGGCCTCATGCAAAGGGAAGGGGGGGGAACATGATGGAAGGAGTCAATATGGGGAGAAAGAGAGAAGAGGGGGGCAAAACCCAACATGATGGAGTGGAGGAAATGGGAAGGACAAAGCGTGACAGAGGAGGCAGAGAAAGCGAGAGGGAAGGCGGCCGAGAAAGGAAGGAAGGAAGGGAGAGGTGGTGGCGGAGGAGGTGGAAAGGACTGAGAGAGGGGAAAAGGAGAAAAGCAGAGAAGGATGGGACAGAGAGGGAAGGA